CTTGTACTCAATGGTTTTCTTCCAAAGACTTCTAAGAAATATGATGTTGAAATATTCTGGGAGCTTTAGATAAATAAGAAATGTATATTGGACCTTGAGTCTGTAATAATAAATCAATCAATTTACAGCAGCTGCATTTTCCTCCACAGACGGGTTTATCGTTGGATTGCCAACTTGAACTTCTGGCCAGAGAAAAAACACATAATAACTAGTCAGCATTTCAAAGCAGAATGTTTTCAAGATGACTTGGACACCAGATACAGCACTGGGACTTGATCAACAGCCGATACTGTGACATCACAAACCAGTAGGTGGCAGTAGTGTTCTTTTATAAACATGGATGTCTCCAGTGAAGCAAATTCAAATGAAATTACTCTTAATTAAAAACACCTTTCATTTATTGAACAGTATGTAATAATTTCATATTTAAACTACTTTCAGAATTTTGAATTTTGAATATTACTGGACTTTTCCTTTAACTAAATAGATCACATGATTATCCGGGGAGGTACGTTGATGTCAACGCTTCATGTTTTTCCCCCCTTACAAAGTTCATTGCTTTATTTCATGAGCAACAAGAAACTGTCAAGTAAAATGAGAAAATTGTCTTAGCAAACCACTCAGATATAAATTCTATAAATGTACAGCTCATTCTTGGTATGGTTAAAATGCAAGAAGGAATGACGTCACTGGTTTATATGAGCAAATAAAGGATCAGGAAGGGAGCTCTTACTGTGTGTAATCATTACTCATAGACAAGTTGTTTTTTTCTTTTCGTTCTTACCTTATTTAAAGAAAACCGTCCAAAAATATATTTCTAGACAATTTCCTATTTGCGAAAATTAAGAAATAGCATGAAAAGATTGGGTCAAGGTCAAGAAAAATAATGATTGTGCAGAATCTATGCATGAACACATTATCCATGTAAGACCAAGGCATTGATAGCATTTTCTCTAGGTCCAAAATGGTGGTTCCAAGAGAGAATTCATATTCCTATTCTAATCGGATCCTAACAGATCCTTATCTGTTACATTAAAATTATCTTTTGATTTAAAAGATACTTTAAATATAACAAGGTGTGTGTTAAAAATACTTTTCATGTAATATTCTTATTCTTAATGTCTTGTTTTTATTATGTACAAGGGCGTAAACATCATATTTACCAGAAATAAAGGCTTGAAAAAACTTTTTTTTATATATATATTTTAAATATTTTTTGCTTATTCAGTTAAGTAATAAAATAATACATTGGAATTTATAAAATGGTATTAAAAGTGTGCAACTGACTTGGTAAAATATAAGAATAGGAGTGTCAAGGCAGGTTATTTATATAGCACATTTCAATAGCAAGAAAATTTAAAGTGCTTTACGTAGAAAACAGAAAAAGACAATAGGAAAGGTAGATTGCATAAAGTGTCTGAATATGGTAATTAAATAATATATGAACTCAATAAAATAAATGAAAAAGAGAATAAAAATAAATAAGATAAAAATAAGATAATTTTTAAAAATAATGATAAAATAATTAATAGGAAAATTTATAGATTCTGACCCTTGGTGTTTAGAGTAAACCTCAGAGGTCTGGATGGTTGATAGAATGACAACAGGTCTGTAATGTATTTTAGTACAGTAAGAGAAGTATTTTAAATTATATTATCTGAGATACAAGGAGACAATAAAAGGATTCAAGTGAAGTGCTCCACTGTCATAGTTTTAGTGAGGACGCAGGCAGCAGCGTCATGGATCAACTGCAGCTTTCTGGACGACTATTTAAACAGACACCTTTGCAATCAGTTCTACCAAATATGAATGCATTGATTATTTTTCAAAGATCCTGTTGAGACATTAGTTCATTAATGCTGGAGATGTTCTTAAGGTGATAGAGGAGCAACTTTTTTTTACTGTCTTTATGAAGGTTCAGATTCGAGTCCATCCCTACACCCAGATTCTGAGCCTGATTAGTGGTTTCCAGCTGTATTGACTGAATGAGTGAGACAATCTAAGAAAACTTTGGATGCAATCTGAAGTAAGAATATCTGATCAACTCAGAGCCTTATACAGTATGATAAATTATATTTATATAAGTAAAGATAAACCCATGAAAAGGCAGAATTATCCTATCCATCATATAGTATATACTTCTCTTACTTAGCGACCATCTCTAACAATAAGGAAATCATACACCCATATTCTTTTATGTTTCTAAGACGTTGTTGACTGTTTCAACATGTCTGGCTGTTAGAGGACTTTAGGACCCTGTTGGCATTAACACAGCCACGTCTTTATCTTTTACACGTGTGCTGTTAGCACGCTTAATATGTTCGCCCTACACAGCTGCGATAAAAAAAAAGCTGAGCAAGAGACAAGACAGAATAAAAGCATTCAGTTGGAATAATTGTTAATGTAAGAAGAAGAGCAAAATATTTTTTGCTTTGCAAACCATTTAGTATAGAATATATTTTCCAACATGCTTAAACATGGAGAAATAACAGAAGGTAAAAATCGATGAGTCATACTTTTTGCTTCTGTCCTTGTTCTTACCTAGTTTGACCTACTTTCATTTCATTTACAGGACCTCGGGAATGATAACAGGATAACCTCTGTAAGGTCCATTAACCTTTAGAGAACTTTGTTTTATTGTTGCTTGCATTAAAACTACCATAAGTAAAGTTTAGAGACAGATGGATGGATGGATGGATGGATGGATGGATGGATGGATGGATGGATGGATGGATGGATGGATGGATGGATGGATGGATGGGAACATTTTAAAATTTTTATCTATAAAGACTAAAGTCGATTGTCCAATACAGTTCATATTGTCAGTACAGTTTTTTTAATAGGCACTAACTATGTTGTTTAAAGTAGACTATTCTGTAGGCTTATGGGTCACTGAAACATTTTAGAAATAAAGCGGTGCTGTGAAACGTGAATGAGTCCAAGTGTTGTAACAAATATTAGGTCTTTGGCTGATAAGTAACCCCTATTAGAAGATAGCTGGCACTCCTGCTGTTTGACCTGCACTTATAGGAATGTAGAAATTAATATGTTTATTATTAACCTGCCGCCAAGATCCAGTACAGACTGAATTATCATGATACTTGTTGTTTCCCTGACACAACCACTATGTTAAGTCTCATTCAGGTCATGACACAAAATGCATAAAGATTTCTAGACTATCGTTACATTTATATAAAACTGCTAACTAAAATCAAGTAGCATGGCATTATCCTTTTTATTTGAGATAGAAAAGCATTTTTTTGTCTGCTGCTAAAACAGGATTCAGTCTATCATTTCAGCTGCAATATTTTCTAAACAACCCATTGGCAAAAGTATAGGATAAATATCTGCTAGATTGTTTTAAACATGCTTATATTGCATAATATACTTTTCTCTCATTTACCTCATCTCAAGTAAGAGAATGTACATGCTTGGAAACATGTATCCCCCCTGCCATTTGTTGGTAGAACTATGCAGACTCCCCTTATATGCTTATGATGTGTGAAATCACCCAGTCTCATAAAAGTACAGGCCTTTGTAATTGTTTTTTTAATTTCAGGTAAAGAGACAAACCCTCCGTTGCAGGATGTTTCAGTAATAAACATGGAAGAAATAATTCGAACAGGTCTGATATATAACAGTATGGAGATTGTTAAATGTTAATGTCTGCTCTGTAATGTACCAGGTGCATCCTCACCTCTGCATCTTGATATCAGAATTATGCCTCAAGGGGAACTTTGAAATAAATTATGATACTGCCATAAAACCTGTGCTGCTAAAGTATATATGCTGTACATATACTATTTACCCAACTGTATTCAACAGTAACATATATAGCGATTAATTTATTCTTTCTGAGGATCTCTTTGTCACAAATAGGATTCTAGGAGAGTTTTATCAACAGCCTGCATGAAGCAGACTAGGGGGAGGAGGGATGGAAAAGAGCAGGTAAGGTTATGGAAGAAGGGGTTACAATGCAGAATTAATCAAGTATTAAAATAGCAAGATTGTTTTTTTGTTTTTGTTTTACCAAATCCAGTGAGTGGGAGACCATCTAAGCGTATTTTGTCCTGGGTGCAGGTGAGGCATGTAGAAAATGTAAAGTAGAATGGTTAAGCACATGGTTATGAAAGGTTTGTTTGGGGTCTAAATAGTTAACCCTTTAACCTTTCTGGCTGTGTCTGTAAACACACAAACACAGCAAGAAAATGGAGGCAAATGGTCCTTTGTAGAAGTGAAAAGAGGCTATGAATTGCTAAAAGAGGTCTATAAGTCTATGAGATACTTTCATGAGAAAAAAATATAAACCCAACCTTGTGTTTTTATTGTATTTTTCATGGTGTGTAACTTTATAAAAAGATTTGTTAAAGATATTTTCCTTTTCACTGCTAAAGAGGGTAGAAGTTGTTCTCAGAGATCACAGTAAACACCTATAAAATGCATTTTCAGACATTTGTAGTTTGCCATTAACTACCATTGCACTGTGTGAAAGTGTGACCCAGTACAAGTTTTACCCATGAATAACTGTAACATATTGACAAAGCAATAAAGTTGTTATATTCAGCCAACAAACTCAGAATTAAAATTGAAACATACAACAGAAAGCAAAAAAACGTGTATTAATATTTACCCTTTTTCATCTCACAACACTAAAATTGCTCTGAGCAAACTGACACTAGAACCTCAAAGACACACGTCTTTATGAAGCTGTTTGTGCATCCAAAAAGGCTGCTTATAGTCCCTCATCAGCCACATGAATAGCTCTACTCTGGCAACTTATTAAACTACAGGCAGCAATAAAACAGGCACACCTGCAGCTACCATGGAGCAAAGGTTAAACCACAGAAACACTCATCTGGAAAAAAAAGGCTGAAAAACAGCATCAACACACCCAGGTGATAAAGGAGGCCAAGGACAAGAAGGTCTCTGATTGGCTTGATTTGAACCGTGAAGCCATCTCCTACTGTAGGAGGGTTAGTTCCAGCTCATAATAAAATAGGTTTATCCACCATTTATGAGCCACAGTTCAACGGGAAACGTCTGAAGCAACACATTCGAAAGACACTATAGTGGAAACTTTTCTCAATCCGGCAGCTGAACTTAATTTTTAAGGAGAAATCATACCGACTGGAAAAGGAAACAAGTACGATAAGCTTGGAACAAAAAAAGCAGATACCGCTTACTCTTTGAGGAAGACTAGAAGGGAAGGGACGTCTACCTCTGGAGCAGGAAAGGACATAAAAAGACAAAGAATGGGGTCATTTGGACTTGAGCTGGCTGGCATTAGTCTGTCAGTGGTGGGCTGGCTGCTGAGCCTGGTGAGTTGCTTTCTGCCCATGTGGAGGGTCTCAGCCTTCATTGGCGCCAACATCGTCACCGCTCAGGTGTACTGGGAAGGTCTGTGGATGAGCTGTGTATTCCAAAGCACGGGCCAGATGCAGTGCAAGGTCTATGACTCCATGCTGGCTCTACCGCAAGACCTCCAGGCAGCTCGGGCCCTCACCGTTATCACCATCGTCATAGGAGTGGTGGCTCTTCTCATATCCTTGGTGGGAGCCAAGTGTACCAACTGCATCGAGGAGGAGGTGGTTAAAGCCAGGGTGATGGTGTCCTCAGGAGCGGCGTTCATCACGGCAGCCGTGGCAGAGATCGTGCCCGTTTCCTGGTCTGCGCACACCATTATCATGGAGTTCTACAATCCAGTTATCCCCTCCGGGCAGAAGATGGAGATCGGAGCAGCGCTGTACCTGGGATGGGCTGCCGCAGCACTACTTTTAATCGGGGGGGCCATTCTTTGCTGCAGTTGCCCCCCACAGGAGGAGAAACAGCTGAGGTACAACATAGCACCTCAGAGTCGTATGGCATACTCTGCCGCTCCCAGGTCAACGACTCAAAGCTCCTACAATAGAAGAGACTATGTCTGAGAGAGACGAGCCAAAAAAAAAATAAATCTGTTGTTTAGATTGAGTTTTGACATTCAGTCGTTATTTATACATGTTCAGATAATTCATTTGTTTAACCATAAACAACAGTTAAACAATTGTGTTTTGTAGATTACTAGAAATAACAATAGGCATATATGTTTTTATACATTTGAAAGGATTGAAAACCTTCCACATAATGCTGTTTACATATGTTCACTAAAGAAAGCAAAGAAAGCATCCTGTTATAAGAGGTTGCAGAATTACATTTTTGTTAAAGAGACACAGTAAAACCCATCTGTGCCCATAACCTGAGGTTCTCTTGGAAATGTGCATATCGATGTGTAGAGGTTATTGCACTGTCAGAGCAGATTGTAGCTGGAATAAATATTGTATTTTATCATTTTCTGGATGGATTTGAAAACTGTAAACAGGGGCTGCGCGCCAGCTCTCAGCTTAATGGGAAAGAAGGTCAAAATGACGGAGTTGACTGTAAAATAGAGTGAGGGAAGTAGTCGGGATAAGATCTGTTTGGTTTGCTTGATATGTGCTTTATTCCACATGTTTTACTGCTATTATATTTTCTTTTCCTTTGTTGTCACTTTTTTAATTGTTGAAGCTAATGTATCTGACTTTTGTTTAGCATATCTCTGAACTTTGTTATGTGTTTCTTGATATTTTTAAATGTATATGGAAAATGCCACAATATTTTTTCCTTATTGAAAGTGTCTGTGATGCCACAATAACATGAGATATTTTGTATTTACATTATGATTCTAAATAAAATAAATTAATAGAGATTTTTTTCAGTGAAATATCTGTCTGTTTTTTTTTTTTTTGAAATTCACATTGTATTTTAATTGTAATTGCCTAATTTTATTTTCAAAAAGCTTGAGATTTCAATAAATATTTGAATAAATCTGGTCATAAAGGACCATGATAAAAAGAAATATTTTGTATCTACATCTTCTTATGATTCTAAAAAAATAAAATAAATTGACAAATTTTCACAATAATACTTTTCTGGACCATTTTTTGTTTTGAAATTCACATTGTATTTTATTTGCAATTGCCTAATTTTATTTGCAAAAAGCTTGAGAGTTAAATAAATATTTGAATAAATGTGGTCATAAAGGACCACAATAAAAATAAATATTTTGTATCTACATCTTCTTATGATTCTAAAAAAATAAAATAAATTAACTAATTTTCACAGTAATACTTTTCTGGACCATTTTTTATTTTGAAATTCACATTGTGTTTTAATTGTAATTGCCTAATTTTATTTGCAAAAAGCTTGAGATTTAAATAAATATTTGAATAAATGTGGTCATAAAGGACCACGATAAAAATAAATATTTTGTATCTACATCTTCTTATGATTCTAAAAAAATTGATTAAATACACTCACCGGCCACTTTATTAGGTACACCTGTCCAACTGCTCGTTAACACTTAATTTCTACGCAGCCAATCACATGGCGGCAACTCAGTGCATTTAGGCATGTAGACATGGTCAAGACAATCTCCTGCAGTTCAAACCGAGCATCAGTATGGGGAAGAAAGGTGATTGGAGTGACTTTGAACATGGCATGATTGTTGGTGCCAGAAGGGCTGGTCTGAGTATTTCAGAAACTGCTGATCTACTGGGATTTTCACGCACAACCATCTCTAGGGTTTACAGAGAATGGTCCGAAAAAGAAAAAACATCCAGTGAGCGGCAGTTCTGTGGGCGGAAATGCCTTGTTGATGCCAGAGGTCAGAGGAGAATGGCCAGACTGGTTCGAGCTGATAGAAGGGCAACAGTGACTCAAATAACCACCCGTTACAACCAAGGTGGGCAGAAGAGCATCTCTGAACGCACAGTACGTCAAACTTTGAGGCAGATGGGCTACAGCAGCAGAAGACCACACCGGGTGCCACTCCTTTCAGCTAAGAACAGGAAACTGAGGCTACAATTTGCACAAGCTCATGGAAATTGGACATAAGAAGATTGGAAAAACGTTGCCTGGTCTGATGAGTCTCGATTTCTGCTGCGACATTCGGATGGTAGGGTCAGAATTTGGCGTCTACAACATGAAAGCATGGATCCATCCTGCCTTGTATCAACGGTTCAGGCTGGTGGTGGTGGTGTCATGGTGTGGGGAATATTTTCTTGGCACTCTTTGGGCCCCTTGGTACCAATTGAGCATCGTTGCAACGCCACAGACTACCTGAGTATTGTTGCTGACCATGTCCATCCCTTTATGACCACAATGTACCCAACTTCTGATGGCTACTTTCAGCAGGATAATGCGCCATGTCATAAAGCTGGAATCATCTCAGACTGGTTTCTTGAACATGACAATGAGTTCACTGTACTCAAATGGCCTAAATAAAGTGGACGGTGAGTGTAGAAAGAGATAAATAGAAAGAGATTTTCACAGAAAAACATTTCTGGACCATTTTTTGTTTTGAAATTCACATTGTACTTTATTTGCAATTGCCAAATTTTATTGGCAAAAACACTGAGATTTAAATATTTGATTTAATCAAATAAAGATAAATCAATGCGATCTTAAATTGAAGAGGCATTTTTTTCATTTAATGTTTTTTTTTTATAGACTTTTCCTGGTTAAAAATTATGTAACAGATTTTGCCAAGGAAAAAGTATGAAAAGCGCTACACTAAGATGAAGTGTGACGAGACACCAATGATATATGTGACGGGGCAGCGCGGTCCCTCCCGCTGATACGCATGCACGCACACATACATACACAGAGAAATGCACGTGCGCACACACCCATTCAACTGCGAGTCCCTTCCCGTGTATGATAGTTACAGATCAATCGCTTTACTTACTTACATTTGCCTCTTGTGTGATGTGGCACGACCAAGGGTGCACACTTGGTGATGCTCATTAATCGGAACTCATACATTTACCCTTAAACACATACACACGTTTGCACTTACCCATGGAGCGTTGTTTGAGAGAAAGTGGGCGGGGCATTTTCAGGGTTTTTTCTTTCCTGTTTGTTTTTCCTCATAAAGGAAGTCAGTGATTTCCGCTGGCAAATTTAATTGTATTTTTTTTAAGATAGTAACTTCAGAATGGAAACAGAAAATTATTATTTTTTTTTTTTCTAGGAATAAATGGTTTTTTTATTTTTATTTATTTTTTTTCCCTTATTATTATTAAAACCAATACTCAATTGTTTGCTGATCTAATTGTAGGGCGGGGCTTAGGATTTATAAGGAGAGCTGCTGCCCTTACTGAGTCAGTCTGGCCTTGTTACAGAGAATGTAACATTGCTGTGCAGCACAAAAGGTATTTTTGTCTGAAATGATGTAAATACTACATTTGTTTCCATATTATTTGGTTTTTTTTGCATTTTCCCCTGCCTCTCTGCTCTTATTTTTGGGAGGTGTGAAATAAATATGATAAACTGAAGACGTCGACATGCCCTCCATGATTTTTTTTCTCATGATTTTGGAGCCAAGTTGACCGTATCGAGGTCTAACACAGAGGCTGTTAGGAAGAACCCACGACAGATGGTGTCAGGAGTGGGATGGCATGTCGAAGGAAAACCATCCGCCTCCCAAAGCAGAGGACTGGACTGCGCTCTCAGCAGCAAGAGGAAGCTTCCACAGAAACAGCATGGGAAACTCAACTGTCTACATCCGCAGATGAGAAGATGGAGCAGCCACAGACTCAATTTGGTGAGTCAGGGAAGGAAATCGTGTCTCTGCTACAAAACTTCATGGAAGCACAGCAGAAAAAGGAGGACTCATTGATAAACATTCTTCAAGACCTGAAAAGATCTATTCAGCCAGCAGTACAGAAACCTCCATCGAGTACTGGCTAAGTAAGTAGTCCAAGATATCATCTGCCAACTCCAGCCTCACGTCGACCGTTTGATTCAAGCTCATCATCATCCTCCTCCTCCTCTTCTTCAACCCCAACTGAGTCCAGAAATAGTCGGTCAAGACAAAGGTTTCTTTGGGAGGGTCATTCGGATCCAAAGATGCTCCCATACGCAGCTGGTGAGGATATAGAGGACTATTTAATGCGGTTTGAACGTATTGCCAAAACCTGGAAATGGCCAGAGACAGAATGGGCATGCCGACTTGTTCCATTGCTTTCTGGTAAGGCGTTAGCAGCCTACACAGCAATGGATGAAGACAGGGCCCACTGCTATAATGAACTGAAAGCAGCATTATTGGCAAAATTTGACATATCTCCAGAGACCTACAGGCAGCGGTTCCGGTCAACTGTGGTTCCACCTGATGAAAGCCCGGCAGAAACCTACTCCCGACTGAAGGGGCTTTTCCGACGCTGGATTCGACCTACACAGCCCACTAAGGAGCAGATTGGAGAGGCCATCATTCTGGAGCAGTTCCTGCGAGTTCTACCGCCTGAGATGAGGACATGGGTGAAGGAACACGAGCCGAAAGATGGACAGCATGCAGCAAAACTGGCGACACAGTTCCTGAATGCACGCAAGGGAGGCGGCGGTTCAAACTTCATCAGCAGGAACCACAGGGTTACAGCGCAGCCGGTCCAACTGAAAGCTACAATAGAACGAAGCAACCGGGACTTTCCAGGTAACTTCTCCAGGGAACCAGACCACCACCAGCTGGGTAAGAACCTTGTTTGTTATTATTGCCAACAACCGGGCCACAAAGCTTCTGTGTGTCCAGTGCGCAAAGCTAAGGTCACGGGGGCCTGTTATCCACCCCGGCTTGAAGAGGGGATTGTTGGGACTGAAAATATTGGCAGACACTATCAACAAATAACTGTTAATGGACAAAATGTGACTGCTCTTTTGGACACTGGAAGTTTCATCTCGCTCATAAAGCAGAGTCTGGTACCAGTGGGCCAGACAGATTATGGAAGAAAAGGGGACATTTTGTGTGTCCATGGTGACAAACATACATACCCAAAAGCAGACTTAACAGTTGTCATTGATGAGCAACCATATCTGTTGACATTTGGTGTTACTGAAAACTTGCCAGTAGATGTAATTTTTGGTCGGGATTTACCAGTGCTTTTTGACTTGTTGAAGGAAAAGCAGTCCAATCAGATGGATTTTGATAAGGAGGTCAATACCCAAGTAAATGTTAATATCTCTTGTCCGGTGGTCACCAGAGCCCATGTAAAGGACGGTGTCCAACCATTACCAGACCTAGACAGTAGTTTATGTGAGGGTGGCACAAAAGGGCCAAGAAAAACTCGAAGCCAACGG